GAAGCAGCGCGCCGGTGCGAGCCCGGGATCCGAACCCGGGTCGCCAGCAGTGGAGCGCGCTCACTTAACCACCAAGCCACGGGGCCGGCCCCAGAGCCTGTTTTCTTAATCTGTTAAATTGTGTGTGGCTGTCTATATGCCACTACTGAGAAGTCAAATAGCATGGCTTAAATTATAAAAATCTGGTTTCTCTTAACTCTATTGAATCTTGACTAATATTTCCTTCTCTCTTTTAATGATACAAATTAGAACCTTTAAATTTAGCCAGAAGTTTGAATGAATTCATATGAGTACTAAACAAATGCACAGGAATTCATTTTATAATGGCAATGTGAGGAATATCTTTCTAAGTATGACACAAAACCAAGAAACCATAAAGGAAGATTGATAAATTCAGCTATAGAAATGAGAGCAGGAAAGAAGGAAGGAAGGAAATGTCTGCTGTCTAGTAAACTAAAGTCACCAGGAACAAAATCCAAAAAGCATTTAACAAATTGAGTAAAACATTTGCAACTCAATTGACAGACAAAGGCTTAATTTCCTATTAATATACACTAAAAGCTCCTATAAATCAATAAGAAAAAACCCAACAACCAAATGGAGCAAGGGGCAAAAGACAGAACGGATCATTCACAGAAAAAAAATGGCACTTACAAAGTTAGAACTATAGCGAGACATTTTTCACACAGTTTGCAAAAGTAAAAAAGTTTAATAAGACACTTTGGAAAGGGGCACCCTTATACACAACTGGTAGGAGTGTAAATTGGTAGAAACTGTAAGGCAGTTTAGCAATATCAAGATTAGAAATGTATATACTCTTCGACCAAACAATTTTACTACCATAACCTATAGATAGACCTGCACAGATAGAAAAAAAACGTATGTCCAAGGTTCTTTGCTCAGAATTATATGTCATAGAAAAAAGTGGAAGGAACAGTGTACATCAATAATAAACTGTTTAAGTAAATTAATATCTACAAGATGGAATACATGCCTCTATTTAGAAAAAGAAAGAACCTCTTTACATAAGTATGTGAGAATAATCTCTGAGATATATTATGAAGTAAAAACAAGGTGAGGAAAAGTATGTATAATATACTGCCATTTGCAAAAAACGACAAAAAAAGATTCCCGTTTCTACACACATTAACACATGCCATATACATGCATATTTTGTATATGTGGAAACATCTGGAAGATGAAGACTACACAAGTAAACAAAAAAAAACCTGAATGCTTGAATATAATTAATACAAATAAATTTATATTAAAATTATATATTATATCAATAAAAAATTATTAAGTAATATGTCGCAGAAAGAGAAACTATATCCACAAATATAATGTGATATTAAAGTATGGATATAGCTAAGCTTTAGTGAAGGATATTTAAAACTGCATATTTTCAAGAATTTAGACCTTCTTCCAAGAACTGTTATTATTTATCAAGGCAATTGAACATCAGAATTATGGCTAGATCATCCCTGATTTAATTAATTTTCATAAATCTGCAAATCCCACTCTTTCTATATTTGTAAAAGACTCTTAGAAGGAATTGGATGGTTATGTAACAATTTTCTTAAAGCCATTTTAGTTTTCTTAATTGAGGTCAGGGCTCCTTCTCACTGGTTGTTTTTTGGTGTGCTATTGTTTTCTGGATCTTGATAACATTTCAATTTGCTTCCCCAACAACCCTAGTTTCCTTTGTTAATAGTGTGGTGTCAATTTTAGTTTATTGCTGAAGCTTCTTATTTAATAAAAGTGCTATTTTCTAAAATTCTAGTTTTACCTCTATACTCTAATTTTTTAATATCTTTACCCCCAAATTTTGCCAATAATTCAAAGTGCATAATTTGTATTTTCATTAATGCTGATGTTTCAGAAAGATTCGTTGCCAAAACCCATTTAACAAGACTAATGTGAGAGAACATTTTTACAAGCAGGGCAGTCAGAAATTTCTAGTCCAAACAAGATGTTTGTTTCTGATGCAGAAGATGACAAGTCTATTCCCATGGTGATCCATATACAAATTTCAGTTGCATAAGTAGCCCTTTTGAAAATAAAAAGAGAAACAATTTGCTTCTAATTTTATTCCAGGACCCAAAGGAGTAATAAATGATTGGAGAAAATTTAAATTAGAGAGTGAAGATAGTGATTCAATTCTACCTAGCAAGAAGGAGATTCTCAAACAAATGTCCTCTCCTCAGAGCAGAGATGACAAAGACTCAAAAGAAAGATTCAGCAGAAAGGTAAGATAAGGAAAAATCAATAATAAATAATTTACAATGTGTTTTTTAGTCTAAATGACTCTAAAGAATCACTTTAGAAACATTATAAAATACAGATATATTTCAAAAATATTTATTACAGTATTGTTTGTACTGGCAAAAAAAAAGGTGGGAATGAAGTGAATGCCTATGAAGTCATTCCATACTAAGAAATATGTGGCAGCTATTAAAAGAATGAGTTACAAATACCTGAGTTGACTTAGAGGCAGTTCCACACTATGAGAAGGCAAGATACAGAGATTTTAAGTTACATATATGATCCCATTCTCTAGAGCAATGGAAAAAAACCCACTGTATATGTTATTATGCTTATATGATTATATGAGCATGTACGTAGAAAGGTGTGGAAAGATTCTCACTAAGTTTACAATATTGATTATTTGGAAGAGTGGGATTGGTTGAGAGTTCTCAACTTCCACTTTCCAAGGAAGAAGAAGAAAGTAAGCAGAATAAGTCACACATTTTTTTTTTAAGATATCCACGATTGTTTTAAAGCAGTATTTAGAAAAAACAAATCTCACTTATTTACTTTTTGTATAATATGTATGTCTATGTGCATAAAGAGATACATTAAGGGTGATCTCTAAAATGTTAATAGAGATTATCTCAGAATATGAGAGTGGTGAAATTTCAGTGTTTATTCCTTCCTTCCTTTAGCTTTTAGGTCATTTTTGAATCTTTATAATTAGCATGTATTATTTATATAACAACAATAATAACAATGTTAATAAAAGAAACCATAAAGTGATTTTCATAGTAGGGAAAAATCGCTTTAGCGGATTATGTATCTCCAAACCAGCATATATGAGTTGTTGTATCCTGATTCTTAACACAGACTGTGCATCAGAAATATACTTGGTTCTAGGCTTCTGGTCATTGTAAAAATCTTCAAGTCTAAGATCTGGTTTTCAGGTTTTGGTTCCTTCACTGAGTCACTATGTGATATGGATGAGACAATTGAATTTTCCTATCTGAGGAACTGTAACAACACCTCCTCCACTTGTTTTAAAGGGATGTGAAGAGAAAATAAATGTGAAAAGTGTTTTGAAACATCTAAAATGCTATACAAATGTGAAACATTATAATTATTAAAGATGCTGTACTAAGGTTAAGCGTTAAAAATGCATCTGAATGCCTAAATATCTCTATGCCTGAATATGTGAATGGAACAAGTTCTCATAAGAATGCTCAAACGCATCTGTAAATTAATATTTGTGTGGTTCAATCTGTTAAATTAACAGAACAATGGTAGCAACTTAAAAATTATACAAAACATTGAATAATTTTTAGAGTTAAAACAAATTGAATTGGGACAATAATCTTAAAGCAGAAAAAAAATAATATGATAAGAAAGAGAATGAGGACATTAGAAAAATAAATATGAGGCGGAAACAAAAGAAGGAAGTAGTGAAAGCATCAGATACTTCTACTTAACCTGAGTCTCAGTATCTTCTGCAAAATGAGAGTAATAATATCTACCTCATAGGTTGGTTGTGAGGATTAAGTAAAATAATCTATGTAAAGTACCTAAAACATAGTAGATTTTCCATAAATACTAGTTTCTTGTCATCTCAACTCTCTACTTTAAAATTATCAGCAGTTGCTGTTTGAGAGGCTACTTGATGATAAGGCAGTAGCAGCTGATACCCCTGGGGAGCCGTCCAACCTCCCTGGTTCTGGGCTGCTCCACATCTCTCAATCCAACTATGTCCCATCATCGCTCCTTTATATCTTTTTTTTTCTGAAAGGGGGAAAGGATGTTTAACATTTTATTGAATAAGTTAATAATGGTGTAGCTAGTAAGAAAGGCTCTGCAGGTAATTTTATACTCCAGCCATAGTGAAAAGTAGCTGTCTTGGAAGACAGAAGTTAGGTCTTTTCTCACTTTAGCCTAAACCAGTGGACAGGAATCACCTGATGGGCTTGTTTAGACATGGCACGCTCAGCCTCACCCTTACAGGTCTGATTCAGTAGATCTAGGGTGGTGCCCAAAAGTTGGCAGTTCCCAGAACTTCTTAGGTGATGCTGATGTTGCTGGTCCAGCGTTAATCTCTTGACTAATCTGATAAACTCCAAATAGTAGTAAAAGCTGTCTTGCTTGTATTCCATCCTATATATTCCAGAAAATCAGTAAGTGATGAGATATAATCTTTTTAACAGCTTTTGTGGAGGAAACACTAATGTCCAAAGGCATTTGCTGGGGACACATTTAAATGTGTGTGCGTGTGCACGTGTGTGTGTGTGTGTGCATACTTTTTTTTTTTTTAATGAAAGTCACTCCAGAGTAAACCTTGCTGGGTTTTTTTCACCCAAAGTGATAAGGAGTTAAGCGGCCCATTTCTGACTGAGACCATGACCATCTCGTGGCTCAACTATATTCAGCAATAGTTATGCATGCATCTAATCATGAAATAATTACTGAATCCCTTTTATGTGCCAGATATCGAAGAGTGATGAATGAGACAAATAAAATTCCTGCCTCCAGGGAACACATCAATTATAAAAACTATTAAACAATTAAGCAAATATATAACACAATTTCAGGTAGTGTTTATTGCTATGAAGAAAAATAAACTAGCACAAGAAATAGAAAGCATGAGGCGGGGACTCTTTTAGGTAGAGTAATCAAAGAAGGTGACATTTGAACAAGGCTTGAAGGCGGTGAAGGAGAAGACTACATCAGGAATGGGGGCAGAGAGAAAACAGCAAATACAAACCCCTTGAGTTGAGAGTGGGTTTGGTGTGTCTAAGGTATATAAATTTCTGACTGAATGATCTCTATCATTTCTTTTGTCTACTCCCAGATGAGCATTCAAGAATATGAGCTAATCCACCAAGACAAAGAAGATGAAAATTGCCTTCGTAAATACCGTAGACAGTGCATGCAAGATATGCACCAGAAGCTGAGTTTTGGGCCTAGATATGGGTTTTTGTATGAGCTAAAAACTGGGGAGCAATTCCTAGAAACCATCGAAAAGGAGCAGAAGATCACCACAATTGTCGTTCACATTTATGAAGATGGTATTAAGGGCTGCGATGCTCTAAACACTAGCTTAACATGCCTTGCAGCTGAATACCCTATGGTCAAGTTTTGTAAAATAAAAGCTTCTGATACAGGTGCTGGGGACCGCTTTTCCTCAGATGTACTCCCCACACTGCTTGTCTACAAAGGTGGGGAACTCTTAAGCAATTTTATTAGTGTTGCTGAACAGTTTGCTGAAGAATTTTTTGCTGGGGATGTGGAGTCTTTCCTAAATGAATATGGGTTACTACCTGAAAGAGAGATACATGCCCTAGAGCAGACAAGCATGGAAGATGTTGAATAAAGATTCACTTTGTCAGTATCTCATATTTCTCCTTTACACGTTGAATCTTGATTTTGGTAGTATCCATATTCCTTTAGAGAACACCAAGTATGGCCATGGCCATTCTCATTTGGAAACAAAATCAGATTGACACTAAAATTATATGATTAGCATTTCTTAGTATTTAGTTATTCAAATTGATATAATGCTTTACCACAAAACATTATAGTCTTCAGCAACACGTTAGTAGACAAAGAGGATACGAATAATATTGTGACAGTTTTTAAAACTCCCTCTCAAGTTATGTGTTGGCTTTATTACTCCTTGTTTTCCCCTCAGTGTTATTATTTGAGTTTTTCAAATTATATTATTAATTATAATTTTGCTTGTGTAATAAAAATAAAGTCTCATGAGGAAACAAATTTTCTATTTGAGGTCTATTCTTTCTCAAGTATTACATAATCAAGGCCCCCAAAAAATTATATAACCCAGAATACAAAAAAATTATCATTCAGTAAAGCATCTTACATTCCAACCAAACTAATGCACAAGAAACTTAAAAACATTGTACTGCATTAAAGTTAAAAAAAAAAAATGAGTATTTGTTAAAAGTACAATTTCAAAAGCTAACCTTATCTGGGAAAAAAGGCAGAGTATAAGTAAGGTCTTTTTATTCTTTGGACAAAATAATATTTAGTAGTAATAATAATTACAACTATCATTTATTGATTGCCTCTGATAGGCCAGTATTTTATACATATCATTCTAATTCTTAACTACAATTCCGCAAGTGGATAGTATTACTTCCATTTTATAAATGGTGAAACAAAAACACAGAAGTAGAGTGGAAGTTCTACTTTTATTCCCCTAGAAAACACTTGGAAAACTCTTCTACGCAAACACATGGAAATGTAAAATACAATATAAGTTGAAAAATGTTTTTAAATGCATGAATGAGCTGAAGAGTGAGATAGAAATTTCTAGGTGTCTGAATCAGAGTGGAAAATAACGGTGAGTGAGAGCTGAAGTGATCTGGTGTATAATTGAAGACACAATGTTTGATAAGTAACCAAAAATGGGGTCCATGTGAGAAATGTGCTTAAAACAGGTTTGCACACTTTCCCCTGGCAGACCAACTTTGAAACCAGACACTTGTCCCAAGTTTTAGTCTCCATTCCCCTAAATGACTGTTTTATAGCTTCTCTTCTTTCCTTAAATCTTTTATACCCTTTTCTCCCAGTCCAAACACTTTACCTTGCTCATTCTTCATTGAGAAAATAGAAGTTATCAGATGAGCCCTACCTCATCTTCCCATCACTAATTTAAAATGTGTATCTGCATGTAAACACTGTTTCCACTGACATCACAATGACAGACAGATCATGCAGCTGTCTCAGGCCAATTGATCAAACTATCTGTGGATCTTATTCTTTTCAGTCACACAGTAATTTTTCTCCTGCAATTATTTTCCCTCTCTCTGCATTATCTATTTCTTCTTTCTCTATGTCATATTATTCATATTGGCATATAAATGAGTTTTTAAATTACTTAATATTGAAAATATGCCCACCTACTGGCCCGGTGGTGCAAGCAGTTAAGTGCACGTGCTTCGCTGCGGCGGCCCGGGGTTCGCAGGTTGGGATCCCAGGCTCGCACTGACGCACCGTTTGTCGAGCCATGCTGTGGCGGCGTCCCATATAAAGTAGAGGAAGATGGGCATGGATGTTAGCCCAGGGCCAGTCTTCCTCAGCAAAAAAAAGAGGAGGATTGGCAGATGTTAGCTCAGGGCCGATCTTCCTCACAAAAAAAAATATATATATATGCCCACCTATAATTTAAAATTTCCAGCCATCCCTCACTTCTCTGCTTTCCTTTACAATCATGTCTCTCAAAAGAAGTATCTAAAGTCACAATCTTTATTCCTCACTTCCAATGTTTTTCATCCCACTCCAATCAGGCCTTTGTCCCAAGCACGCTAATTACAGTTGTGGTCATCTTGTCAAACTCAGAGGCCAATTTTCATTCCTTATTTTATTCTGTCTCCTATAAGCATGGGTCAGACCTGACCACCTCCTCTCTTTGTGTGTCACTTCTTTTGGCTTCTTTGAAAACACACTCTGCTTATCTGCCTTCTATTCTACTGACAATTCCTCCTAAGTCTCCTTTGCTGACTTCTTTAAACACTCACCCTAGGTAACCCTCTCCTGTCCATAGTCTTAAATACCATTTATATTCAGACTGCTTTCCTTTTTTTTTTTTTTTTTTATTCAATAGAAGTTAGTTTTATTATTGTTACTATTTTATTAACGACTCAGGCTTACTTCTCCACGAAACATTTAAGAAACCAACTCTTTTTAACTGTCAGGTTAAACAGTCAGGGGTGGACAATTCCTTTGCAAAGTCATTGCACTCAGCACCTTGTTTTTCATTCTGTTCCTGTGACTGTCTCCTTCATGGGCCTTGAGTTCTTTTTTTTTTTTTTTTAATTTTTTGTTTATTGCAGTAACATTGGTTTATGACATTGTGAAAATTTCAGGTGTACATCATTGTACTTCTATTTCTGCATAGATTATATCATGTTCACCACCCAAAGACTAATTACAACCCATCACCACACACATGTACCGAATTATCCCTTTCACCCTCCTCCCTCATCCCTCCCATCTTCCCCTCTGGTAACCACCTATCCAATCTCTGTCTCTATGTGTTTGTTTATCGTTGTTATTATCTACTACTTAATGAAGGAAATCATACGGTATCAGACTGCTTTCAAATTCACATTTCCAGCTTCACTTCTCCCCTAGACTCCAAAATCCTATGTCTTAACTAGAGGAAGAGAGGAAAGGAGGAAAAGAATGGGAAAGAAAAAGAAGGTCTGCAATTATACTAGATATTGGTGCTACAAAGAGGGGTGAGAGAGAGTTCCTAACAGTGGCCAGCTTACACTGACCAGTCCCTAACATATAGTTACTGCGGTAGGTACTGTTTCTGCTCATGAATCTAAAATTCCCCTTTCTCTTCCTCTTTATAAATTGGGAAAGGCATTTTAAATACCCTATGGCCTATTTCTAAGTTGACGAATACTAGACATATCACAAGGAGAAAAAGTGCTGGGAGGGAGACATGCAGGGTAATTATACACAAAATAAGGAGCTTTTAAAAATAGTTCAACGTTTTCTCCGATCAAGTAATTGCTAACAAATTTATTAATCCCATACAGAGTTCTCTGTTAGAGAATTACTGAACTTAAAAAAACCATAGCAAAAAACAGCATCCTAGGGGCTGGCCCCGTGGCATAGTGGTTAAGTTTGCGTGCTTCACTTTGGCAGCCTGGGGTTCACAGGTTCGGATCCCAGAGCAGACCTACACACCGCTCATCAAGCCATGCTGTGGTGGCCTTCCACATACAAAATAGAGGAAGATGGGCACAGACATTAGCTCAGGGCCAATCCTCCTCACCAAAAAAAAAAAAAAAAAAAAAACAGGATGCTTATACAAGATAGTTATAATTAAAAACTCCTTAGTGGAACAACTCTTTAGATTGACAGTTATTTCATGGACTGGAAGTAAATACTTAAAAAGATGATGGCAAGGCTGTGAGGAAGGATAGTCAAACATGTATCTCAAAAGAGACCGATATTTTAAGAATAAAATATAAGTTCTTTTCAATTACTCATCATTATTAACTGCAATGTAGTGCAGCTTTGTAGGGCAGGGGTAGAAAAGCATAGTGAAACAGGGAAAGACTCTCAGCTATGGAAAAGAAGAATAAAAATGAGTGCTTTGAAAGACTGCTGTTCAATGAAAGCTTTACTCTTGTAAGAAATAACCCACCGTGCATTAATCTAAAATAGAGAGCTAGCAAGCTTAAGCAGGACTAAACCCAGGAATGTATTTAACCCACAATTGCCAAAACAAAAGTATCTAGGTGGCACCTGTGTAGGGAGTAAGTGATGATAGCAACCATTCTCAAAATAAGCACTTGGTGACTAATGGATGCCAGAGTGAAGCTTTGATGGCAACACTCATCAGGAAGAGTCGGACAAAAGGCAGGATTTGACTAGAATATCTGAAACCTGCTGCTGCAGAAATCCTGGATTACAAACTCCCCTCATGTAAACACTTAATCTGCTATTATATTTGGCAGGAGGAGAGGAAGAGATCATTTCTGTCTCAGCAAAAAAATGAAGTTTTAAATGTAAAGGTTGTAAAATGTCATAACATGTCTCATAACAAACCCCCCAAATAATAACTGGAAAAAAAGACATGAAAGAAAAGCCAAGAGCGTTAGTTGTAAAATATGAAAATAACAGGAAAATTTGTAAGGAATAGCAAAATTATCCTGGAAAGTGAGAAGCTCATTCATTCATTTGTTCATGAGATCGTTAACAACCAGCTGCCGTGTGCCATGCAGTGTCCTTGACCTTTGGAAGCTCAGGGCAAAGAAAACAGACATTTAAACCAGCAATGGATGATAAACGCATCTACATTTGTGTCTATATCTATGTCTATAGTAACAGTGGTGGTTAATAGCCTGAGCACTGGTGCCAGATTTCCTAGATTTGAATCCACTCACTAATTTTATCATCTTGGGCAAGTTAGTTAACCTCTCTGTACCTGTTTCCTCATCTGTAAAATAAGGATAATAATAACACATCCTCACTGGATTGTTATGAAGAAAGAATGAGTACACCATGTAAACTATTTAGAGCAGTGCCTGTCACATAATAAGTATTATTCAAACGTTAGTTATTATTGTTATTATGACTAACAGATATATATGAAGTAAAATGGTGCAGACAGTACATAGATATAAGATCATAAGATCTTAAAGACATGCTTATGTAAATAGCAGCTAATCTATGAAGTTAGGATGCAATCCAAATATCCCAAACACACCACTCACATCCCTCTATATAAGGACCTTATTAAAAATCCTATATATTTGAATTGAAAGAGAGAAATCCTAAATAACTGCCATTTCGAATTGACTGTAGATACCACAATAAATATAAATTAAATTAGTTCTGAAAACAGAAGTGCAAAATAAACATTAACACACAAATGAGAAAGAAATCTACAGAATTTTAAGGAATTTTATACTGAATTTATTGCAGAATATGATTATGATCATATACTTAGCTGTTCAAATATGCTACTATTAACATTTTGGGCCAGATAATTCTTTGTTATAGGGGGTTGTCCTGTACATTGTAGGATGTTTAGCAGTATCATTGGTCTCTACCCTCTAGATGCCAGTAGCACCTCTACCCCATTGGTGACAACTAAAACTATCTCCAGACAATGCCAAGTGTCCTCTGGAAGGCAAAATCACCCCCAGTCAAGAACCACTTACCTCTACATATAAAATATATTATCTTCTGTCTCCTGAGTTCTATGAAAATAGAAATTTAATTATCCATCATCCTTCACCTGGA